GTGCCTCTGGAAGCGCTGGGATACAGTGCGAGCCACTGTGCCCGATCCTCCCACCTGTGCCTCTGGAAGCGGCTGGGATAACAGTGCGAGCCACTGTGCCCGATCCTCCCACCTGCCCTCTGGAAGCAGCTGGGTATACAGGATGCGAGGCCACTGTGCCCGATCCTCCTCCCCTGTGCCTCTGGAACGCTGGGAATTACAGGTGGACCACTGTGCCCGATCCTCACCCCACCTGTGCCTCTGGAAAGCGCTGGGAGATTACAGGATGCGAGCCCACTGTGCCCGATCCCTCCCACCTGTGCCTCTGGAAGCGCTGGGATTACAGGTGCCGAGCCACTGTGCCCGATCCTCCCTCACCTGTGCCTCCTGGAAGCGCTGGGATATTACAGGTGCCGACCACTGCGGGCGATCCTCCATCCTCTGCTCCTGGAAGCGTCTGGGAGTTACAGGCTGGCGAGCCACTGTGCCCGATCCCTCCCACCTGTGCCTCTGGAAGCGCTGGGATTACAGGTGCGACCACTGTGCCCGATCCTCCCACCTGTTGCCTCTGGAAGCCGCTGGGATTACAGGTGCGAGCCACGTGTAGCCCGAATCCTACACCACCTCTGCCTCCTGGAAGCGCTGCGGGATACAGGTTGCGAGCCAACTGTGGCCCGATCCTCCCACACGTGGGCCTCTGGAGCGCTGGGGATTACAGGTGCGAGCCACTGGCCCGATCCTCCCACCTCTGCCTCTGGAAGTCGCTGGGATTACAGGGTGCGAGCCCTGAGGGGGGGGGGGGGGGGGGGGGGGGGGGTGCCCGATGCTCCCACCTCTGACTCCTGGAAGCGCTTGGATTACAGGATGGCGAGCCACTGTGCCATCCTCCCCCACCTGTGCCTCTGGGAAGCGGGGCTGGAATTACAGGTTGCGAGCCACTGTGTGGGGTTGTGCACCCGATCCTCGCCAACCTAATGCCTCTGGAAGCGCTGCGGGATTACAGGTGGCGAGCCACTGTGCCCGATCCTCCCACTCTGGCCTCTGGAAGCGGCACACAGGTGCGAGCCCACTGGGCCCGCATCTCCCACCCGCTGTGCCAGCGGGAGCGCTGCGGATTACAGTGCGAAGCCACTGTGCCGCGATCCCCCTTCTCCCACCGTGGCGCCTCGGAAGCAGCCTGGGAATAGCAGGTGCGCAGCCACTGTGCCCGATCCTCCCCACCCTCTGCCTCTGGAAGCGCTGGGATTACAGGTGCGAGCCACTGTGCCTCAGTCCATCCCACCTCTGCCTCTGGATAGCGCTGGGAATTAAGCAGGATGCGAGCCACTGGCCCGGAATCCTCCCCCACCTGTGCCATCTGGAAAGCGCTGGGAATTACAGGTGCGAGCCACTGTGCCCCGAATCCTCCCCCCAGCCTCTGGCGCTCTGGAAGCGCTGGGATTTCAGGTGCGAGCCCAACTGTGCCCGATCCTCCCACCTCTGCCTCTGGAAGCGAGCTGGGATTACAGGTGCGGCACTGGGCCCAGTCCTCACCACCCTGCCATCTGGAACGCGCTGGGATTTAGCAGGTGCGAGCCACTGAGGGAGGGAGAGGGGGTGCCCGATCCTAACAACACGCAAACGCGTGTAAGGCCTCTGGAAGCGCTGGGATTACAGCGGTGCGAGCCACTGTGCCCAGAAATCCTCCACCAACCATCTGAAAACCTCTGGAAGCGCTGGATTAACAAGGTGCGAGCCCTAGCGTGCCACCAAGATATCCTCGCCAACCCTCTGCCAAATCTGAGAAGCGCTGGGAATTAACAGCGATGCGAGGCCACAGTAGCCGCAGAATCCTCCATCC